TTAAAAATAAAAAAAGTGAATGATTTTTTTATTATCTGTGACAGACGGCCCTCACAGCCCAATGCCTGTAACTGATCACCAGAGTGCTTTGAGATAGGCTTGCGTGCCGGACGCTCGCGGTGAGGATCATCAGGGGATACTGTACGATCTCTCGAGAGGACGCCTACGCCCTCGCCGGTTCCCTTCCTTAGGATCTCGAAGCCGAGGTTTGGCTGCGGTATGCCGGTGCAGGACACAGTCATCTGGATTGCCACTAATGCGGCCATCCGGACGATGACGCTCGGCACGTACTCGAAGCGTACCCGCGTTGGGAGCACTCGCGGCGAGATTTCGAGTCCTCTCCTTGCGGGCTGTCGTCGCCCGCATGTTAGAGTTTGGGAAGGCTTAGACGACAAAGGGAAGATCTTCCACCGAGCGGATGATATTGCTCGGTAGACCGACGGTCCGAATGTTGTTGTTCGGAACTTGTATATATGCGCTTTATCTTGAAAATGTCGTAAGCGAGATTCAGGCATCTGTCAAATATCTTGCGTTGTATGATGGCTACCCGCCACATCACTCCCCTCCGAGACTGGAGGTCGTGTCATTTTTAGTTATCGTTGTCCGTGCTGAGATTAGCTTGCAAGTGCCAGTGCTGCTCGAAGTTTGCGGTGAGTCGAAACTGAGCTTGAATGCTGCGTGATTGTCGCCAGTGCTGCTCGAAGTCTGCGGTGAGTCGAGACTGAGCTTGAATGCTGCGCGATGAGGCAGTGTAGGTGCGTGCCGTAGGACCAGGAAGCGCGGTGAGTCGGCTGCGATGGTCCTGTTGAGGCTGCGATGCTGGCTTGCTGTGGGACGACTGTCAATGACGTGCTTTTATCTGCGAGAATGCGGGGGGATTGTGGTAGCCGGAGTTCTTGATGCGCTGAAGATGAATCAGAAGGTTGCGTGTTCACATCACGTCGGGGTCACCAGTTTGGGAAGGCTTAGACGACAAAGGGAAGATCTTCCACCGAGCGGATGATATTGCTCGGTAGACCGACGGTCCGAATGTTGTTGTTCGGAACTTGTATATATGCGCTTTATCTTGAAAATGTCGTAAGCGAGATTCAGGCATCTGTCAAATATCTTGCGTTGTATGATGGCTACCCGCCACAAGAGGACCAGAGTTCATTGGAGGACATGGCCAGATTGGGACCTGTTCATGGTGCTCCGTAAGGCTGAAGAGCGTAAAAGTGAGTGGGATCCCTCTTCGGCTCCTCAGTGAAGAAGGCGGGGTAGGCGGTGCAGGCACGATACTCCCGTTCATTTCCCGTAGGGGTTGTCGGTCCCGTGGCGAGACAGCGCAAGTTGGTGCCTGTGCGCCGCTCGCAGTGTGTCTCCCAAGATGACGTCCCGTCCTATTATCAGGACGGGTACCGGCGAAGGCGAACTTTCGATGCGTATTCTGTGGTACCGCGTGTTTCGTGGAATCGGAATAGTGGAGCTCGATGGCGTTTACTCGGTAGTCAGTCTTGCGTGGCTAACTCCGCACAGAGCCTCGCGTGGCTATCTCAAGGCATAGTCTCTCGGCAGGAATTGGAAGTAGAGGAGGACTTGGGTCTTCCTCTTCTCCCTCTTCTTCTCTGGAGGCGCTGGAATTCGACATAACAATGTCTGTTACCCCTATCGAACGGGTATCCGTAAACGGATTCCCCAACATTAAAAAAAAGGTAAATTTATTTCTGAAATGAAGCAATTACGAGATCCTGTTCAAAGATAAGACAGGGATTGGCCTATGAGATTTAATTATTGTTGCAAAGTAGGCACCAACAATCACATTGCGATGCCCGTGGGCTTCCATAGCTTCATATCGGACGGTAGACAGTGAACTGGGTCTATACATAAAAAATATCAATTACTAAAAAAATATGTAAAAAAAGTTTTGAATTTAAAATTAGCATTTTAAACATTCACAAATATACACCCACAGGCTATTTTTATTATCTCTAACATAAATTTTATAGCTCTATAATACAGAACAAGGCTATGAATACAATCAATTTGACTAATGTGCAAACACAAAAGAAAAAAAAGAATTTAAATAAAAAAAAGTCATTAAGTTGCGAAAGGTTTATTTTAAGTTGTTTACAGTTATATTTTGCAGAGCGTGTTTCGCAGTTTCACTCGTTAATTTATTATTTTAGAATAATGCAACACATGATATTTTTGTGAATAAAACTAGGCTCTTTTATAATAGTAAACGTTTCTTTGCAAATAAATGATGTCAATACACTTCTCGGTTCTGGCGTGAATAAAATAAAAAATTAATAAACAAACCAACAAAAATACCTTCGCATTTATAGTAATAATATTGTTACATCGTATAGTCACGAAATTAAAGGGACAATTTAAAGATAACGTGAATGTTAAGAATTTGAAACTAATTTAATTCAAACATTTAATTGCAAAAATATTCGTTCGTTTTTTTTTTTAATGCCGTATAGGCAGCCGAGCATACGGCCCACGTGGCAACGTGCTCTGCTCTTTTAAACAAATTAAAATATAAGTACGCCTGCCTGATTCATTTGTTTTCTTCGCATATCTCAATTTGCGGCTACAGTTGTATTGGATAGTAATATAGAAAAGAAAATGAAGTTTAGATAAAATTTCAGACGTAGACGGTCGGAACAACACGTAGACTATTCGATGATCAGATATCGTTCGAAAAATGGAACATTTCGTGACGTTATCTTTGAGAACGATGGCCCTGGGACGACAGTGGCGACACCACGCTCCAGCGTTCCATGTTATATAAGTTTACATAGGTACTCGTATTTACTACCAACATATTTTTTATGCATAATTGAATGAAGAAGCTCTTGATCCGCCTAGCATTAACTGGAAACTTACTGTTTATGAACGCAGTGGCTCCAGAAATTACGGAGGAACTCTGCTCTGGTGAGTAAAAAGGAGATAGGTCATGAACAATTCCTCTGAGAAAATAAACAGAAAAAAATAATTTTATGAATACATTCTATTTGAGAAATACAATATGTATGTAAATATGATTGATGCGCAAATAATGTTAAATACTTACTAATCTTAATTTTTTTTTTATAAATTCAAACCGTGAAAAACTGCACTGACACTTTTAAATGGTCCGTGAGACGCATAGGTATATGGAAACATAGAATCCTATTTATATGCAAAGATACGACACGATATTTTGTAAATTAATCAATTCAATTTAATATTTTTATACTATTCATAATTTTATTTATGTTATGGTAAATTATTTAACCGGTGACCTGTGGTCATAAAATAGTTTAGCATTTCGGAAACTATAAACCAATATCTTAAAGGTGTAAAACTGCTTTAAAAATGAAGACAATACTATGTAAAGTAATATCAGATTAGATTAATAATTTTTATCCATTCTGCGATTCATGTTATACTTATAAGACCTCCCCAGCGTCGAAAGGTCTTGCGAAGGAGGGCCCTAACCAAATGGCTTATACAAATTGTTCTGTCTGTATTATCTTAACCTCCAGGTAGTTCTCTACTGAATTTTGGTTTTGGAGTAATCCCTCGATAGCATTATGACGCATCTTGATTGGCATCCTTATACATGATTTATTTACTAATGGTAGTAACTCGATTTATTCTGTGCGTTACACGAATTTTGTAAGATGTATAAGCTCGCACGATTCCCGGCCTCGATTGAATATAGATCGCTTCGATCGGCATGGAACGTGAATCGCATTCACATATATTGACTTACTATTGCGTAATACTTTACGTTTACTTACTACTTAATACTTTACGTTTACTTTAAATAAGCAGTTAACTGAGATTGCAACTTTGGAACCGATTCGCTTAGGTAGGTCAAAGGCAAATTTTCACAAAAACAAAGCAAGACAACATGGAAATCTAATAATAATGAAATGCAAACTAATCATTTGAGATAAACAATGTAATTCTCAACAACAGTCAACTTAGATTATCATATAAAAGCTCAAAAAAGGAATGGAAGTTATTTTAAAGACTTTCAGTTATATAATTTTCTCGGTGCTTGGAGCTCTAGCAACAGATAACGAGAAGACGAGACGCAGGCGAGATAAAAATGTGGCGTGCATACTACCTAAACGAGAAGCGAAGTTCACTTCAAGACTTCGCTCATCTAATCGCGTAAGGTTTCCAAAGTGCTCGAGTTTGTTTCTCTGAAAATCACTACTGACTATTCCTTATTATTGCAGACTGTAAAATACAATTATTCCTCTTCTAACTTATTGAAAGGTAGAAAAATTGCTGTTTAATAATATAAATTAATTAAATTATTAATTTACTAATATCTAAAAAAAACATAACATTAAGCTATCAAACTATTTTTTTTCTTTGCAAATGCTTATTATCGAATAGTGATATTTTAAATGTTAATGTATCGCTATATTTTGTATGTTGGCACACTCTGATCCGTCAGAGCGTTCTGCAGCTGGATTAACAATTTACTTCACTAGCCGTTTGCGGGTTTTGTGGGTTAGCGTCATTGTGAGTTTTTGTACATCGACGTGACTTAATAGGACGCTATGTTGTTTATTACAAAAAAATATTCTCAAGTTTCATTTGCCCCACCGAATGTAGTTCCGCCTTGTCGTGGCGGTGGGGCTTAAGCGTGCGTCCCTAAAATCGCGTGCAGAGGAATCTGTGTGGGACGCCGCGACCAAGAGAACTGCGCCCAGCTCTCCTTGGTTGCCTCCGTATACAGCGGGCGCTCCTTGAGAGAGAGCGAGGGACTCTCTCCCCACGCCCTTTGCACTGGCAAAGGGAGGCATTCAGGGGATGAGGGGTTGGCTCTCGGGAGCCTGATGAGCCGGCGGCACTTTTGTGTCTTCCGGCTGCGAGTTGCCATGTCCCCGGCTTCGGTTACAGGGGAAAGCCTTCCTGATATGGGAGGTACCGGCTCGCCGGCGTGGCTCCACACCGCGTTGTGGGCGACGGACAGGCCTCGGCCACCGTCGGCCAAACCGTAAACCCCAGTCATGGGGAACGGGGGCTCCTGCCTTTACTGGTCGGAGCCGCGAGGACGCAAACCTCTTCAAAAATGCCCCAATCTCAAGCTCGACACCCGGCGATGGGATGTATGGCTGGAGGGTTTCCAGTCGCGAGGGTGTCGTAGATCCCAGGGGACCAAACCCCTGGTTAATAAAAAAGGAATAAATAGAAATGATGGACAATTGTACAAAGTTAGTACCCCAGGAGGGTACCCCGCCCGCGAGTCGGGCGGAGAATCCCTCCGTGCTTCCACCTCAGTGGAAGCACGCTGCCCCACGTATTCTGGGGGGGGCAACAATTGCCAGGATGAAGGAGGCTGTGCGACGGGCAGCGGAATTCCCGTCGAACCGAGGCGCTCCCCGATCGCCGGCTCGATGCGCTCTGCGCTCGCCAGCGACTCGGGTGCGGTCAACCCCACCAGACCATCGGTGGGGAAAAAAAGGGGGCGAAGGAAGACCCCACTATCAACGTCCGACGACGGCGGCGCGTCATCCTCCAGCACCGAGGTGCCGGAAAAGACGATGGCCATCGAGGAGGTGGCTCCGGTGGTTGCGGGGCCTGCCGCAAAGAAAGAGACGATGCCCGCTCCCCAGTGGGCACCAGTAAGGAGGAGGGGCGCAGTGTCACCAGCGACGTCGGTGGAGTCGATGTCGACGTCGGCCGCGTCCCTGGCTAGCGGGGACGAGGCATTCCGCGACCTCGACCTTGCGCTGGTCAATCTGGCTAAGCTGCTGTCGACCGTGGCTGCCAAGGGCGCCGAGCCAGGCAGCAGCTACCGGAAAAGGCTCCGGGAGGGAGCGGCTATGGTTAGGACAAAGTTGATCCCCACCATGTCCAAACTCGTCGCGCAGCTGGACTCTATGGAGAGTCGCATTCTGAGGAACTCCCCCGTCTTGCAAGAGGGGACTCCCTTGTCGCCGATGCCTGCGCTGGCACACTCTGGGCCTCCCGCGAGGAAGATGGATACCAGCGTGCCCTCACGACCCGTGATGAGTGTGGCGGCGCCCATGCCAGCGCCTACTTCTGTGGCCCCTGTTCCACGAGTGCCTACTCCCGCGCTCCCTCACCCCCCGCGGAGGGTTGAGTTGAGGCCTGCGCCGCCTCCCCAAATATCGGCCACCCCTGCATCCGTACAAAGAGGAAGGTTAAGGCCTGCGCCAGCGCAGGCTGAAGATATCCGTTCGCCACTGGCGAGGATGATAGACGAGTGGCCGGCGCTGCCGCGGCCCAGGCCTGCAGAGCCGCCAAGCAGAGAGAAAATGGCGGCCTGCATCTCGCGGGCGGTGGCGGTTGAGGTCCGCAAACACTTTGCCGGCCTCGAGGAGATGCTCCGCTCCTCGATTGGTTCCGGAGATGGCGTCCCGGCACCAACAGCCACGACCGCTTTACGGGATCAGGCCGCCCAGCCGACTTCCACTCCTGCCCCATCCGCAAGGGTGGCACGACGTGGAGGCCGGAATATCAGAGGTGCGGGTGCCCAGAATCCCGGCCCGCGATCCCAACCACAGCCTCGCCCCCTTCCTCCGCCCCCGTTAAGCATGGACGAGGGCTGGACAGAAGTGGTGAAGCGGGGCACCACAGCACGGCGACAGATAGCAGCTCTGGCAGCTCCCCGAGGGGGTCGAGCGCCGACCGCTACATCCCGAAACACAGCGCTGGCGGCCGTGACTGCTCCCCGCGAGGGTCGAGCACCGGCCGCTGGCAAAAAGAAAAACAAAAGGAAGAAGCCGCGCGCAGCGGGGTTGGCTGCCGTGGTAGTGACTTTGCTGCCGGCCGCTGCCGAAAAGGGCCTCACCTATAATGAGGTGATGGCCCGGGCGCGTGCAGCTGTAAACTTGACCGAAATCGGGGCAGAGGAAGGTCTACGCTTCCGGCAGACCGCCAATGGGGCGAAAATGCTGGAGTGTCCCGGTGCCGATAGTTCTGGCATCGCGGACAAACTAGTGGCGACGCTCCGCGTGGCATTGCCGGAGGAAGAGGTGCGCGTGCACAGGCCGGTGAGGATGGCCGAGATTAGGATCACCGGCCTGGACGACTGCGCCACCAAGGGAGAGGTGGCAGCCGCGATAGCCGCCCAGGGGGGATGTGCTCCGGAGAGCGTGACCGTGGGCGAACTTCGCTCAAGGTACTCCGGGGCCAGATCGGCGTGGGCGCGCTGCCCTGTGGAGGCGGCCACTTCCTTGGCCACCGCTCCACCGGGAAGATCGACGGGGGATCCGGGGAGACTGCGCGTGGGCTGGATAGCGGCCCACGTGCGTCTCCAAGAACCACGTGCCTGGCGATGCCTCCGATGCTTTAGCACGGGGCACGGCCTCGCTAGGTGCACCAGCTCGGTTGACCGCAGCGGTCTTTGTTTCCGTTGCGGCCAGCCCGGCCACAAAGCAGCGTCCTGCACGGCCACCCCGCACTGCGCTCCGTGCGCTGCGGCCGGGCGCAGGGCAAACCACCGGGCGGGAGGCAAGGCGTGTTTCCCGTCCGGTAACAACACCGAACGAAACCGGCGCCGGAGATCAAAGCGCCGGCAAAAGAGAAGGTTGGCCAGAGGAGCACTGGCCAACGCTGTAATCCCCGTTGCGGTGCCGGTGCCGGAGGGCGGGGGCAGCAGTGAAAGGGAGGGGGCGATGGATGTGGTTCAACAGTAATGGACCGCACCTATCGCTTCCTCCAAGGAAACCTGAACCACTCCGCCAGAGCTCAGGACTTGCTGTCTCAGAGCATGGCGGAGTGGTCCATAGATGTGGCTGTGGTCGCCGAGCCGTACTTCGTTCCCCCGGCAAATGATTGCTGGTTTGGGGACGACGGCGGCCTGGCGGCCATAGTCATAAGAAGGGACGCGGCGATCCCCCCCCTGGCGATGGTGACCAGGGGCCAAGGGTTCGTCGCGGTGAAGCTGGAAGGGACNTGGTGGTCGTGGCGCCGACGACCGCCGGTCCGGCGTCCCGAGGGGGAGGGTGATGGGAGAGATGTGCTCCGCACTAAACGCTTCACTTTCCCCCCTTTGCCTTTTCATGGGTTCTGTCTCATGCGAGGTTCGGACGCGGGTTGTTGAGCGACAGGAGGTTTTAGTCAGTTCGACTCCGACATGCCCCGCCTTCCATCCCCAGGGGAGGGAAAAAAAAAAAAAATATAAAAAAAAAAAAATTTATATATTTCATTTGAGTAAAATCGTTTTAATCTATTAAAAGCAACCTACTCTAAATGGAAATCGACTTTAGACAATTATCAATCCATTTTAAATATATTATAATTACATAATTTCATATTGTTGATTCTGAAAATGTCTGGTTAGTTGTAACTTTAGCAACTGTCAAGTTACTCAAATAATAATATCAGCCGTTCGTTTAAATTTGATCATAAGCTAACCAACATAAAAAAGTTTCATCAAGATCGGTCCAGTCGTTTTTCTGTGATGCTCGAAAGAAGAAATATACAAAGAAACTGGCAAAAACATTAAAATCGGTTATTTAGGTTCCGGTATTCTCGATTACAAATTTGTATAATGTAGTTTCATTCCAACTCTAATGTATTAAAGATAGACTACATCTACACTACATAATATATCACATGGGTAGAGACCCATCCTCAGCAGTAAGATGATAATTTATCCCAAGTAATTTCCGAACACTCAAAATATTTTCATCCCAAATTTTATTAAAATCGGTTTAGATACAACACTTCAGTCCACGACGCCATCCGCGCAGTCGAAGACAGGCAAGGCTACCGCAGGATAATCCAGGAGAAACTTAAAGGAGGTCACGACCCTCAGCATTGAGGATTATCAACGCGTAAGGAAAAGGAAGATAAGACCAAGGATATATATATACAATCAAAATCAGATGCTTGTGTTGGTTCGCGGAGGCTTTTTTATTATTGTTGTTGGCAGGCGAGCATACAGCCTATCTAATAATGAGCACCGTCACTTCAAGTATTTCAGGGGCACAGCAAAGCGGCTGCCTATATTAATGCTGAATCCATTTCGATTCGGTTACCCACAAACATTTTTAACGCTGTAAAAAACTTTGTAACATCTGTGCCTAAGAGAATATCTAACTAATATTCTAAACTAAAAATCACTGAATATTTCATTAAAAACTTCTAATGCAAGTCGGAGGATAGGGATCGTTTTTAGAACGTTAGAAGCGTACATTCTATGGAATATATAAATAAAATACTCCAACTAAAAATACCTCTAATTGTTTTAATTCATAATAAACACACCCTTGAGTAGCCGTTCATAGAAAATCTTTCAAAACTCATCCTTAAAATATCTACATCTAGGAGTAAAATGGCTATGATACACACATAAACAGGCACGATGAAATGCAGTTTCTGTTTTGTAACTACGGAAAACAAAAAAAAAAACTAAGACAATAAGATATATTTTTTATGTAGCTCGCCACAGACTAATGCAAAAAATACTTGTCGAACTTATAACAACTGAAGAAATGTATTGCTGAAGTCATTTCCTTGTTCTCTGTAATGAAATCGTTCATAATAAAAAAACACCCCCAAAAACAAAATAAAATCTTATTTGCGATACATTTTTTGCTTATAAGAGTTAGCGGTAGTGAGCTACGATTTAAAATAATTCAGCAAAAAATGAACAATCAGCACAGTTTATTGCAAGTGAGTTCAGTATTTCTTTTTACAAACAAGATACGAACCGATCTTTTTGTGAGATGTCAAAACTAATGAAGATGTTTTCATCGAAACTGTCGCTTCCTCATTTTTGTACTGTATCTTTTTTTTCTTTCATAAAGCAGACTTTGTTTAAAACAATCTTTTAAGTTCATGAAAAAATAATGAAAATACTAAAAAGTCATGAAATCAACTTACAAATTAACATTGAACCATTATTTACGATAATCAAAATGTTTTCAAAAATATGAGATTAACCTTTTCTTCAAATTACATTGTAACGCATTCATTTCTATATTGGTCGGTTTACATGCGGTTTTTTGCCCACCTAAAAAGGAGCCTACATACGTCAGTAACTCTGCAGTCAAGACAAGTCGAAAGAGATTTAGAAAAAAATGTATCAATACATTGTTCCGTGGCAGGATAAACAAAGAAATACGCTACCGTATTTATACTTTTGTTATTATTATTTGTAATTATACCCGAGGTTCCACCCGGTGACGATTGTAATAAATAATCATTTAAACACCTTTTGAAAAGATAAATAAAATAGAATTAAAATATCTGGATTTCGGATCGGTAATAAAATTAATAATGTTCGGGCAATTATAGTTTTTAAATAATTCTGCTCGGATACATTCAAATGTGGCTTTCCCGTAATTCAATTCTAAATAATATACTAATACTTCATATATAATTCCGAAAAAAACAGCATAACATAAAGTATTTTTAAAACAACTATTTATTGTCTTCGAAGGCAGCCGAGCATTGGGCCCGATACATGTCACTTTCTTTCAGTGTCTGCCTACTGCGAAATACTCCTTAAACATAGTGAAAAGAAAAATATGTCAATATAACGCCGCACACGAAAAAATAATGGAATATGAGCTTATAGCAGATTTTTTTCCTATAATTATATACACAATACGTTCAACTCAAAATTTGATAAGTTACATAATTCTAAACTTAAAATATATCACTTAAATTTAAATATAATTAATTGTAAACTTAAACCATATATTTTGTCGACCATTAAAAAAAGACAATTACCTAAACACTAAGCAGTACACACGCGAATGTTCTACGGCGTAGCTACGTAGCGCGTAGGACTATGCCCGGCCATTGAACTTCACTTGCCGATATTAAATTCACATGCACCCTGTAAACTGCTTATGCCTCCTCTTTCCCAGGTCAAAGATTGATGAACTCAAACCTTGAATTTTCGTGAGCAATCAATGAAATTTCAGTTCATTAAAATTAAATTTAAACTTGGCACGGTTCTTGCGTCCACCGAAATTACGTGTTGAAACTACAGTTTCAATTCATTTACAATTGAAATTATATCTAAGTAGAAACATTTAATCAAATTTAGTCGCGCCATGTTCAGAGTGGTTAAAAACCTACAATAGTGCTTGCGGAAATCGTTTTGAAGCCATCGATTTTGAGTATACTCTAATCGTTCATTTTTATCGAGGCGAGCCTCGGCCGTGATAGATTATCCTTTATCTTTCTTTTTCCTTTTGTAGAGCGTCGACCGCCAGCAATGAAGGGGCCGGGGGTGCGACGAGATGGGGGGAGCAAGAACCGTTGAACCGCCGACGTCATTGCCCTGTCAACTTTACAATACTAAGCAGACAACGTAACGTTTATAAGTTAATTTGGAATAGGTGTTGAAGAAAATGAGATCAATGAACTGTTTCGATGTAATTCGACTTTTACGATTTCATAATCTCAATTTTTTCCCCGTTATAGCCTTATAGCTTACATAAATGTATTTATCTTTCAATATGTAACAGAAGTTTACTTGATGACTTTTTTTATTTAATTCTTACAGCGAAATTTATAACATCATTTTAAACATTTTAGTTTTGTAGATGACTGCAGAAAAATGTAGACTGATGTTTTTACTTATCATCCGATTTTTTACTGGTGGTAGGACCTCTTGTTCGCGCAGGTAGGTACCACCACCCCGCCTATTTCTGCCGTGAAGCAGTAATGCGTTTGTGGATGTCTATGGGCTACAGTAACCACTTAACACCAGGTGGGCTGTGAGCACGTCCAACCATCTAAGCAATAAAAAATAAAAAAAAATAGTTCCCCAATATTTTTAACTTCGATAAATCCAAATATACCAACAACAAAAATTTGATTGCAGTATTTGAATTTATTTAAAAACAATCAATGTTCAAACGCTATTAACAATAAGTATCAATTTACATTTAAATTGACACTTATTGTAAATGGCATTACAATCTAGCAAAGAGTGAAGGATTTTTTTATTTATATTTCAAAATAATAACTATTATAATTGGACTAACTATAATACTAATATATTTCTGCACCATTCAAATTAAACCAATTAAAAATATACATTAAATGTTCAAATTCTATAAGAGCAAGTTGCCAGAGTATTTTTCTTTATGAATATAAGGAATAAGTAGACAACACCATTGCAACATGCGTCACTGTGCCGTTAACACGCAATGCACTTCAAAAAAGTTTATGATTAAACACTATAACTACGAAATTAACTACGATTTTTTTTTCCAATACTCAAAAGGCTTATCAAGTCTTCATCAATTGATTTATTACTTCCACGACGTTTTTTAATTGCATAATTACCAGTGTTAACGTTTATTTCTCTTATCTTAATAGGTGTAACAAATCTAAACGCATAATTTATATTTATTTCTAAATGGAAATTACTGTGAATAGCTACCGGGATCAATAAACACCACAAGACGAATGCGATCTTAGAGGTCGAAGTCTTGCAATGTAGTTTCGACAGCAAAAAAAAGAAGGGATTAACAAACCAAGACCCCTTCGCAACGTAAGTAAGCAGCTGGCATAATATTAGCATTAATTACAACAACAACAAAAAAATTGCGCGTCTGATTTGTAATATACGATGGCGTTCCTCTTCTAAATTGAAAGTAGGTTGTGAACACGTGCTAAGTTTCGTGTATTTCGTATTTAGAGAAATCCGTATATGCGAATTCGTACA